ATTCCTATTTTTTTTCTTCTAAAGAAAAAAGTGTTGTATATCATGAATTTAAGGTTCAAACTATCTGGTAATGTTCATTTGTTTAATTCATTCTTAAAGATAATATCCATGGATGTCCTTTTAAAGTATTGGTCAGCATATTGCAGTCCTGCAAAGACCTGCGGTACCAAAATGAAAATCTTTTTAAGAGCATAGCAGATTATGTAGCTACAACTTTCGACATTTGGAAGTTGAAACAGGTGAGTATGCCATCAGTTGGGTGTAGCCCTCAGGCTGTCAAGAAGCATGTTTATTTCTTGTGTCAAGAATCTCTCTCTGCTTTTTGAAGGATATTAATGTTAAGTTAACTTAGCTCACATCTCTTTCTAGGGCTTACTTATTGATACAGTATTTAATCCTTGATCATCTTTCTATCTGAAACAAAAATTATACTGTTCAAAGCTTTTTCTCCTATTTGGTTTTCAGAAGACTACATGGCACTTTGGTTAATGATTTAGTATTGTTTATCCTCTTTTGTTGTTAGATTTTGAATAATAAATGTGGGTAGATTGACAGGCTTATGGCTTTTGAAGAGTAAAATGTTACTTTGTGAGCATATCTGTTGTTTTCTCCAGAATAAAAGCCTTTAAGTTCAGAAGTAATATTTAATAACACAAATATCTAAATGAAGCAGCTTATAAAACTTCCTTTTTCTAGAATAGTTGGTGAAAGCTGAGGTAGATCTCTAAGGTTCAAGTTTACTAAAGAGGGCAAGACAAATTTTGAGTTTATTAGGAAAATTGATTTTGGAAAGAATTATTGTAAAAATTACTCAGAAAGAAATTGGAAGTGAAGTGGAACATTTATCTTAATTATGATATTTCAGTTCCATTTTCACTTATGGAAATTAATGTAAAATAAAGAAATGTTTGAGTTACAAAAACAACTTTTGCTTGAAAATGTCATTGAAATGTAAGACTGTATATACTAAATTTTTTTTTAAGATAAGCAGGGGTGGGAAAAACTGTTTACAACATATTAAGAGGTGAAGATTCAGATAATTCACCTGGGCCAGGTGGCGGTGACACACATCTGTGATCCTAGTTTTCCAAGAGGCTGAGGCTAGAGGATTTCAAGTTCAAGCCCAGCTGAGGGGAAGAAAAAGGAAAGAAACTGTTTTGTGTTATCACATATATTGAATCTAGGAAGTGTCTAGGGTTAGAAGTGGGGGCAGTTCAAGATAGAGTTGGCCTTTTTGAAAAATTTCATTGAAGTTATAATTAATAGTAGTTTCCAAATCTGTAGTATAAAAAACTGACGTAGGGAAGGATTTAATTTTACATGAAGAATGGAAATCATTGCGTGTCTTGGTTCTCAACTTATCAGAAGAGATTGCTTATTATGTTGATACCTGATTTAAGAATTAGTGAAACAAAATACGTGAAGAAAATACAGTTGTTCCTTTTTAAGTGGAATTTTGTTGATCAGCACAGTTGACTGTTGTTTAAGTTCTTGATGTCTAAAAACTCACTATAAGCATATTATAACTGTAAATAATTTCTCTTCTGTTTTAAGGTTGTCTTTCTCCTTATTTTATTTGAAAACCTGAATTTTCGACCTTCTGATTTGATGGATAAGCTTATGGAGAAAATAATGGAGGAGCCTGAATCCCTGAACATGAAAAGCATCCTTGCTGTTCTACATGTGTATTCCTCTTTCAATCACGTCTGTGGAAGCCAGAACAAAGAGTATGCACTTTTGTTCTTTATATTGTCGTATAATGTACCTATAGAAATATTGCAAATCACAAGCATAACAAATTATTAAATTCATGACCACCATTCATGTCTAGAAATACAAAAGTGTTTCTTTTTAAACTGAAGCAGAACTTTATGTTTGTACTTGCCTGGCTTGTTTCTCTGTTCCTTATGGTATAGTTGTTCATTCAGATATAGTTTTCATTTCGAGCTTTTCCAGTTTTTCCTCTTAGCTCCTAACTTTATTTTTATAAACTTTGTTGAAAAGCTGAGACATGTATCTTTAAATTTCTTTATTTCTTTATTATCGTGGTAAGAATATTCCACATGAGTTCTCTTTTAAGTGTTGTTAACTCTAGCTGAATGGTGTAGATCTCTAGGTCATAATCATCTTGTGTAACTGTTGAAAGGTCACCCTTCTGTTTTCCTCCTTTCCTCTTTGCATCATCATTCTACTGTTTCTGAGTTTGAATTTTTTTTTCATTTATTTAATAACCACATAACTAGTAGGCATTTCATTACAACAGCATCGACATAGTCAATAATAGTTTCCAGAGCAAAGATGCATCCCTTTCAAAGTTGGCTGTAATTCTTAGGTTCATAGTGTTGAATTAATACAGTTATACATTATTGTACTCGGTATAAACCCTATAAGACATAAAACTGAATGAGGTTTTATCCTTTAATAAAGATCTCCATTTCATTTTAGAATATACTATTTCATACAGAAACATCTCTAATCTCTGTATATCTGATTATTACTAGTCACAATTGGTTAATTTCTGGGATCCTTGGCACCAGAGCATGGATATAAATTCATCAGGTAGATTTCAGTGGTAATGTTTTTCATATCTACTAATTAACATGAAGCAAATTTTTATATTTCTTCCTCAAATATAACTCACTTTAAAAAATTTATTGATTTTTTTTGTGTGTGTGTGTCCTACTGGAGCCCATGTACTCTGTCATCCCTGTTACAGTCTATTGTATTGTCAGTGCCCCCAGCCACTCCCCAGTGCCAGTCCATCCACTGAGTCTAGTCAGCCTATCTAGAGTCCCTTGTTTTAGGAAGATCAGCTCTTCCTCATCTAGCAGCAATCAGTTGCCAACATTCCTTTAGATAAGATTGGGGTCTGCTGTTCATTTTTCCAGTTCTATCCTGGGTTACTGTCTGAGAGTCGCTTGGCCACTCTGGCCAACAACGCAAAGGAAGGTGTCTCCTGTCTGGCATTGTTTCTTTTTACGTAGCCTTTAGCTATACACATGGACTCTTAAAGAAATATACCGATCACTTTAATCTTTGGTTATACTTTGCTCTTGGGTGTTTAAGACCATACAGTGGCCCAAATAAATCTATTTTTACTCTCAAGGTCCTTCCTCAGGGGTCACATGGGCTTGTGACCAGTTCCATCTATGAGAAGATAAGTCAAAGGCCCTACTCGACTGGCTGGCTTCATTTGGAAGCATGGAGGAAATGTTCCTCTGTGTTGATCCTCCTCTTTGTAGACTGGACACTGGATCAAGTCTATCTGGTGGGATCTCAATGACCTCCTTGATCAAGAGGACAGGTGACTCACCACAGTTACAGGACATTATGCTCCATAGTACCCTGGAACTTAGTCGACCTTGGAGGTCAAGGAGCAAAAACTGTCCTTTAAATCCCTCTGACCAGATTAGTATAGGTCTCAAAGTACGACTGTTAGACATCCAAGAAGGTTAGTTCTACCAGTCTGGTACTTTGAATTACCATGTGCTATGTAGATAAAGCTCGGGCAAAAACCAAATGTTCTCAGATAAACCTTGACTAGACATATATTTTGTTCTTTGAATTAGTTGTATGTATAATTTGTCAGTAGGTTGTTGGACTAATATGGTTCCTTCTGGTTTTTTTAAAACTAGCTATGCATTATTTATTTCTCTTACTGTCTAACCCTTCCACCATGGTTTTCCCATTTAAAGTGCCCCCATTTTTCCCATTTCTCCCGTAATAATACCCTTCTCCTATGGTCCCACTTCTCTTGAGCTCCTTCTTTCCCTTTATCCCCAAGGTTCCTTGTATACCCCTCCCTCCCCCCTCCCATTAAAATAACCCCATTTTTATCCATATCTCCGTTAGTAATACCTGTTTCCTACTGTTATTCTCTCTGGGGCTATTTCTTTTCCTTTACCTCCTTGGTTCCTGTAGTTATGTCTGGATACATACTCACTTATAAGGATTTGCTGCTAGGATCCACATATGAGGGAGAACATATATCATTTGTTTTTCTGAGTCTTTGTTACTTCACTTAGTATAACAGTTTCTAGTTCCATCCCTTTGCCTGCAAATTTCATGATTTCATCTTTACTGCTGAGTAGAACTCCATGATATAAATGAACCACATTTTCATTATCCACTTGTCAGTTGAGGGACACTTAGGTTGCTTCCATCTCTTAGCTCTTGTGAAAAGAGCAGCAACAAACATGGATGTACAAGTGTCTCTACAATAGGATGAGTTCTTTGGGTATATGCCAAGGAGTGGTGTAACTGGGTCAAATGGTAGGTTCATTTGTAGTTTTTTAAAGGGTTCTCCACACTGCTTTCCATAGGGGTTGAACAAGTTTGCAGTCCCACCAAACTTGTGGATGAGCATTCCCCTTTCCCTACATCCTCTCCAACATTTATCATTTGTTCTCTTGATCTTAGCCAGTCTGACTGGGGTAAGATGAAATCTTAAAGTAGTTTTAATGTGCATTTCCCTAATTACTAATTACCAACACCTTTTAAGATGCTTCTTAGCCATCTTTATTTCTTCTTCTGAGAATTCTCTGTTTAGATCTTTAGCCCATCTTTTAATTGGGTCATTTGGTTTCTCGATTCTCTTTTTTTTGAGTTCTTTATATGTTCTGGCTGTTAAATATGTGTGAGATGTGTCACTGGTGAAGATTTTTTCCCATTCTGTCTTTTTAGTTTAATGAGGTCCCATTTGCTGATCCTTGACCTCATTTCTAGAGCAGTTGATACCCGGTTTAGAAACCTTTCCTTCACCTATATTTTGTAGGTTATTGCCAATGTGTTCTAACAGTTTCAGAGTTTCAGGCTTCATATTGAGGTCTTTGATCCATTTGGAGTTGACTTTTGGGAAAGGTGGAAGATAGGGGTTTAGTTTCATCCTTCTACAGGTGGAGGTCCAGTTTTGCCAGCACCATTTGCTGAAGATGCTGCCTTTCCTCCAAAGAATATTCTTGGCCCTTTTGTCAAATATCAGGTGGCTGAAATTGCATGTACACATGTATGGTTCTTCAGTTTTGTTCCATTGATCTATGGGTTTATTTTTGTGCTAGTACCATGTTTTTATGACTATAACTCTGTAATATAGTTTAAAATCTGGTATAGTAATCCCCCCAGCATTGCTCTTAGTGCTCAGGGTTGCTTTGACTAATCCAGGTCTTTTGTGCTATATGACTCTTAGGATGTTTTTTTCTAATTCTGTGAAGAATGTCATGGGAATTTTGATGGACATTGCATTCAATCTATAAATGGCTTTTGTTAGGGTGATCATTTTCACAATATTAATTCTTCCAATCCATGAGCATGGGAGGTCCTTCCATCTTCTGATGTCTTCCTCAGTCTCTTTCTTTGAAGATTTAAATTTTTTATTGAATAGGTTTAAATGTATTAGGTTAGGCTTATCTCTGGAATTTTATTTTTTT